AAAGAGCGAATACTTCAGCTTTATGTCATAAGCACTCAGCATGCTTCATTAAGAATGTTAAAAGAGTTTAAGAATTAAAAATTGTTTGTTTATCAATATGTTCGATTTTTTTACACTTAATTTCCACATATGAATCATACTGTACGTTTCATAAAACAAATTATCACTTACCGATGCAACCTGTTAGCCCTCGCTGCAGGCGCAGGCTGATTTTTGCCGGCTCTGTTCATGTTCTTCGGGGCCCAACCTGAGGATGGATCTGCCCCGGCTTGGGATGGTGGCTAAAACATTTAAAAATTATTTTTATTTGGTTGAGGAGACGCAAAAAGTGGATCATCTGATGTAAAAAAAAATTTCAATAACTAATAGATTTTGGATAACGTATTTTGTAGCGATAATTTTTAAAGGTTTCTTGCTAAATTTGCATCTTTGAAAAAAACCTTCCAGTGTAACTCCCGTGAATTCTAATGATGGCAAGTCTTTTTGCATTCCCTAAAATAATTCGCGCGATACCAAAACTTTTTTTTGTTCACATAGGGCAGTTTGAGAAACCTGAGAACTATACATCTGACTCCCCCAAAATAGTAAAGATTAATTTGAGAAACTGTCTCTAATATGACTGAACCCAGGTTAGATAAGTTACCATCACGATATTCTGGGGGCAAAACTTGCCTTTACTAGACACGCAGATCTTAGGCTCTTTCAGCGTGACAGGAGACTTCCATGTCTGCTGCGGAAATGCAGCTTCCTTTCCGTGGCTACTTTGGCCAATTAGCTTTGAGAAGTTGCGATCAGTATTGAACAACAACATTTATAAATTGTTTAATCGGCATACATCCAAAAAAGACTAGAAATAAACGCGAAAAATAACACAAATAAGCACGAACTCAAATCCTTTTTTACTAGAATCCTTTCTAGCTGTAATCTTTAAATGATGTAGGAAATTAAGTATTAAAATTAAGTCTTATTCCAGCCAGATCAGACCTACTCAAAAACTCATCGCAATCGCAAATCAAAATGCATAAATAGATTCTAATTTGTTCAGAGCACATATTACATGGAATGTTTTAAAAATTATATGTTTAACTGCATTAAACAAGTTTGCAAAATCAAAAATCAGTTTATGGTAAAACTGAGTTTATTGAATGTAGTAAAGTTGAGAAGCTTAGTGACTAATGTATGAACTTCACAGTTTAATGAAAATTATTGAAATTGAAAATGAAAGGGAAAATCAATTTTAGCATAGTTTGAATCGTAGAAAGATTTGAATAGACTATATTATAGAGAAACTATTTCTATAATTTAATTCGCATTCCCGAAACGTTTTTCTAATTTATTAACATTGAACATTACGTTGTTTTTTTAAATGAATATTTGAGTTCACGCATCAGAAAAGAAACGTCAAAGTGTGAATTTAGTGGATATACTAAGATAATTTCTCGCCATAGAATTTTCCCGTAG